GGTAAAGGCACACTAAAGCTACGTGAACACCCATCTACCTGCCATGAAGCAGTTTTCTTTTACAATGTAAGCATATATCAAATACCATGCCCTAAAACACATTCAGATTTTAAAGTTTTATGTGGTCCTTAGATTACATGTAGCACTGGAAGAAGTATGCTTATATCATCAACCTCTATACGCTTCAAACATCTTCCATATTCATCTATATTTTAAAGAAACACTATTTTACCTCCAAGTGCTGCTTTACAAAGCTGAGAAAAAAGAACCTATGACAACACGGCTGAAGGCTAAAATAGCCAAGAAACAATGGAAGAGCCCTGAAGATGGATCAGTGCTGAAAGAGTCACTGAACACCTCACAGACCTGAGGGATGGCTACACGAGACTATACACCTGGGAAGCCAAAGTTTATCTGCAGAGTGATGCATTAGAGGGCAGTAAGAAGGAGAGTCACAGGGAAATTTGCAAGTAGCTGGACCAAAATGGCATCTCGAAGCCTGCCAGAAACACATTCAGGACTTTGCTCTTCCTGCTCATGACAGGACAAAAGCATTTGCCACGTTCTTAAGCAGGGCTTATGTTAAGCCTTCACCTGTGTCAAAGACATGTGGCACAGACCACTGAAGAGCCAGCTCTTTCTGTCAAGATGGAGACATGCCCAACTAACCTCTTACTCAACTGTTTCTCTAGAACAGAGGCCAGATGTTTCCTCTTGCAAAGAGCAACCACTGTCACGGCGACAGCCCAAACGGGAGTGCCTGGCACAATGACAAAAGAGCTTGCTGGAAAGCATCTGATTTTTTTTTAGGGGTCTCTCTTCTTCACAAAAATAAATAAATAGCTTCTTTTACCTCCCTCTCCCCAGTTGACTCGAATAAGACTTGAGAGGTAAAAAAAGCCAAAAAACCCCAATGCTTTTTGACATTAAGATTCCCTGACACAAAACAATTCCAGACTGACATACATATCCTACGATTTGAACAGAAATTTCACTCTACTTGATATCAAATCACAGTAAATGGAAAAGTAGATAAGATGTCTACAGAGGTTTCACTCCTTCTTCTTTTTCTCCCAATGAAATCCACCTTCTTTATGCTTACAAGTACAGTTAATTCCTCTGTTGTTGAAATTAGGGTTCATAATAGACTTTGACCTATCAGCAACTGAACCAAGAAGTCAAAGACCCTTCAAGATGAACAATAAATACAACTCACAGGAATGTTGGCATTATGCAGAAAAGTGCTTTAACCTTCAAAATTACAGTGAAACACAGACAGCTCTAGTAATTTGCTTACTATTAATAAAAAAATCTACTGTGCCCCTTTGTTAAAGCGAAATTATACTGAAGACCTTGTCAAACATCTAATTGATTGTGAATGCCTCTATTTGAATTCTCAGCCAAATTAGCCAGATGATCCAGGAACTTCTTGTATTTATTATGCAAAATAGTCTGACTGAATTGTCATTCTTCCTCCTCCTCATCCGAGTGAACATTCAGAAGGTCCTCAGCCTAAGAGGATTAAGGCAGAGAAGAAACTCTTGGTGGTAACAAAGAAACCGCCAAGCAGACCAAGAAAATTTTGCAGAGGTCAAAGGCTTAACTCATTATCTAAAATGGTAAGAAATAAAAAAATGAGAGTAGCTCGTATGAAGATCTGGTGTGTATTTTGTGGCAAACACTGAAAGCAAATGAGGAATGTCAGACTGGCTCAGTATTTGCTGCTAGTTAAGGTTTTTAGGGCACATGTGAAGCCACACGCATTCTAAGAACGAAGATCAGCACTGCAAATTGCTCTGAGACACTTTGATTTTGAAACAAACACTCGACTTTAAGAAAATTACTATGGTCAGTGAGGAATACATCCACTGTAGGCCTTTCTTAGTGTGGACTAGAAGAAAAGTACTAGAGGAACTGAAGCTCTGCTTGTAATCTATAACATTGCATTTACACTTTATCAAATTAAACTACGTGTTATACATAACAAAAATCTTCTACATCCTTTTCTACCACAAGCCCTGGTGATGACAAAAGCCACCATCTTGGAAAAAATTCAGAAGAACCAACACACAAAAAGCTTCCAGGCTTAAACCTTTATTCCCATTCTTATGTTTCCAAAATACATTATTATATTATAAAAAACATCAGTAATGTTCACTAATTACCAGGTCAACATACACACATACGATTATATCTCACATTTTTTTCTATTCATTTTTATAGGGTTACAAATTATCATTCAGTAATAAAAATAGGGAAAAAATACCTTAAAATCAATTCCTCCTACAAAGATACGATTTGGAGTAACTGTTCCAAACGCTGGAGGACTGATCAGATTTCTTAATGACACTGGTGACACAGTGTTGGAACATGGAGATAAAGATTCTGTTGGCGTCTGATTTGTGGTCTGCTGATTGAAAGAAAACATATTTAAATACTTTCAATATTTGACATGTTATAACCTATTAAATAAAAATCAACAGAAAAACACATACAGAATTATTTGGGAGGAGCAGCAAATGCTGGGCAACTGCATGTTAATCACTATTTTTATTCAGAATGCAGCTCAAGTATTTAAACATAAGCTTAACTTAGTGAATACATTATGGTTTGAAACTTGACTTTTAACACCTTTCTGAATTAGACATTTAGGACTTAATCTCCCACTCTTAGTTTTTCTGCTTGCTTGGCAACCTGCTGTATGAATTCCAAGTTACAAATTCTATTTCAGAGATTAACTGATACCTACTGGAAGCCCCTTAGTTTAACCTGACACAGAGAGGGTCTTTTCAACTCAGCCTGTGCTCATACATATCTACAAAACTACGCTCTCTGCAACAGCTTCTGCTTGATTTTCCCAGTGCCAAGCATCAGTGATTTGACCACGTAAAACCAACAAGCTTGTTTACAACCGCTAAGAACAGCACTTGAAGACCAGCCTCTCAATTCAAGACTCTCTTCACCTACAAACAAGGTGCACAGGGATCCAACTAGAAACTCTCTCTGCGGAAGAACCACCACACCGCGGGAACTTGGTGGAAACTGTTAATTAGCGAGGCCTGTCTGATGTTTTTACTTCAACCATGCCTACACCTGTGAACCCTGACACACCACAGACGGGCATTTCACTGGAAACTTTTCAGAACAAACCAATACTGCCTTACACAGCCAACCCCAGCAGTGAGAAAATAGCTGCAAAGCAGCCATTAACTTCTCGAATAGAACGGCAGTAGAAGCTCCGAGACCATTCTTGCTGTGTTTTTGGGGGAGTTGTGTGTGATTTTTTTAAGCTTCTGTTTGTTTCTCTTTTTCCTCTCACAACTAAAGTTTACTAAAACCAATCCTGGGCTATAGTGCCCATCCTTGGAGCACTAAGGAAGGAGCCCAAAGCAAAGCATAAGGTGCTGCCACAGGCTGCAGACGGCAAGGCTCCCAGGAAGCAGAGTCGGGAGAACTACTAGGAATCTGGCAGGTCCCAGTCTCCAACCTTTCTTCTGAAAGAATTTCAAGAGAAATTTAGTTTTTCTTACTATTTTTCCTAAAATTTGCAGTGAGGACTGACAAAACACATGCAAGCGTATTTTAAGAAGAGAAAGCTAGTGTATCTAGTACAAAGCTCTTTCGCTTCTAGGGGTATCTGTATCTTTTAGCTTCTCAAAAACTAAAGCTCAAGATCAAGTGCTCTCAAATATTTCTTCTCAAAGAATCTCCCTTTGTTTTACACTGTTTTACTTCCCGATTTCGCCTCTCTCACTTACTTACAGGACAGCATTTCCTTATCTCTGCCTCTGAGCATTCCTGGATAAAAATAAATCACTGATCCTTGGGAGAACACACAGAAAAATGAAGGCTGATATTTAAAGTGCAGTGAGAAGTAGAAAAATCAATAATGAATACAAAAGTTAGGAAAAAGTTGGGGTTTTTTGTTTGACCAACCAGCTCTTCTAAAATTCTTTTTATATTTTCTTAGCTATGTGAGAATTAGTACTATTAACTCTGAGTAACAGGTTAATGTTAATGTTTTGGATACCTTAAAGAGAATAAATCCAGCTTACTCCACTCCTTTTTAGCCTTAGTGAAGACAAGAATCCTTTCCAAATTTACTAATACACACCCACTTGGGGTGGAGTAAAAACTCAAGTCTTTACCGTAGTCTATTCAGAAGAATGCATGCATTCCTCTTACTCGGAGTGCTACCCTAGAGTAGTGCCTAAGCTCAAAAAAATCAAATCAAACCCAAAAACCCCACCAACACCTCTCCCCAAACCACACTTGCAGGCAAGGAAGAATCATAATTGCTACTGTCCCAAAGGCTTTAGAAGAAGGAACGCTTTCGGCCAAGAACAACTCTTGATGGACAATGAAACAGGTTATTTTCTTCACCTCTCGCACCAAACACAATACTCACCTTGCATAACCGCCTGGCAACTGCATATGGCACTAATTTACCAGAATTTAACGATGAAGTAACAACTAACAGCTGTCACCACAGCCAAAACGTATTCCTTACCTCACAGACCTCAAATGTCATTTTCTCCATACAAGTTTTAAGAGTTCTAAGCCTTTTTTTAAAAAAACCCAAACAACAAACTACCCAAATCCCAAATGAGAAATGAAGAATTAAACACATCACTCGTGAACTGCCAGCACAGTATATCCAAATGAAGTTTTAAACATTAAAATCTGTATTCTGATGGCGCCCTCAGCTTCCTCTTTAGTACTAGTGTACGGTAAGAAAACAGCATTAAAAAAATAATGTATGTACTAATAGCACACCACTCACCTAATTGTGTTTCTACAGGTTTTTTAAATTATTTTTCCCCCAAACAGTATGGATGTATTTGTCTGATTTTTTTT